ATTTTTTTTTAGATGTTAAAAATAAACCTTTTAAACGAGATATTTCAGAAAATTTCAGGCTAGTGTATTTTTGTTTAAAATTAAAATGTTTTTTAGTCATTAAAGGGGTTTATTATGGTATTTTCATCATTTGAAAGATTGTTCCCAAGTTAATCAAAAATATGACTCCTGAATTAACATTCTATCATCTCCTTAAAAGATGAGTGTGTATATGTAAGAGATCAGCACATCTTTTGTTTTGACTACATTCTTATGTAATGCATAAAATAGTTTCTATTGGTGTAGATTTTCAAAATTCAAAATGATAGACTTCAACTGATTGTCTTCTTTGACTATAGTCATGATCTAATTTTCCAAATCCGTAAGTAGTACTATTGCTTTATTTTCCCAGACTCCTTTAACCACACAAAAGAACATCAAACTAGTAAACCTTTTTGAGAAAAATAATTTCAGCTTTCAGAACAAAAGTATTTTGTTCTCTAGGTAGAGTCAGTCTTGGTAAGAGTTACATAAGAGATACCATTTCATCTGATTGTGCTGTCTCTTTCGTTATACAAAATAAGTAAACAGAAGTCCCCATTATTTTTATTTATGATTCAGTGATAGAAGAGATTTTTTTAACTCCACGCTTAAAATTTTAAAGCTTAATTGTGTCAGCCCTGTGGAAACTTAAGGTTGTGGGTTTTAAGCCTTCTCCCAAATATGCCTTGAAAGATGTCTGCTACTTCTTCCTCTCGACACTTCGGAATTTTGTCATTAACTGTGAATCTGAGAAGGAATCTCTAGTTAATTCAATTGTTGAAAAACAACAAATCCTGAAACTACTGTGTTTTAAGTGGACTGGGAGCTCTGCAGCTCTTGAATATTGTACATCATGTGTTCATTGACTATCAGTCATTTACTAAGGTGATTCCTGTTGATTTTCCCCTTCTATATACATCAGGTAAAATTTTTCCAAAGAGCCATGTGTTGTGTGGTACTGAACCACTTTGATAATGAAATATTCATCTGAATCCTTGTTACTAGATGCTCTTTTAATAATTGTTGCATCCCTTTTTATAGTATGTTAGTATTTTACTAAGAATTAGGTGTATTCCTCTTCTCCCCCCCCCCCCAAGCCAAACACCTCCTGATAAAGTTCTGTTTTTTGTGCTTTTTCGGATATTGTTGGTCCTTCATTCCAAGCACTTTATGCTGTCTGTAATGGGATCTATTTTTGCACTGGAATATCTGTTAACTGCAAAAGACTAGACCAGGTTTCACAATAGATTTCTAAGTTAAATAATTTTCATTAAAATAAAAAAAAGAAAAAAATTGTATTGTCAGTAACTTTATATGAATTATTAAAAATCATATTTCTATGTTGTATTGAGTCACCAAAATAAAGCTGTGACAGTTCTTTGGTCTATATAAATTTACTTTCATGCACTGATGGGCACACTTTTACTATACTGTTAAAATGATATCATATAGCTATTTTCATATCAAGAACCACATACTCACACTGGCTGTTTAGGTCCTCAGCAAAAAATGTAAATCACACAGTGTTACATCTTGGACTAAAAGTTGAAGTATCCCTGGTGATCTCCTGGTCCAGATTCTTCCCAAATCATGAAATCTTGTCTGAAAAACTATGATCGGTTATCTCCAACAACTGATCATTTAGCCTTTTTCCCTGTTGTAAGGAAATTTCCTATCTCTTCAAACAACTTATTCTTAGTTCTAATTATTAGGAATTTCCTCCCTCTTAAATATTGAGTTAGTTGAAACTTTCACTAAAACATGGATCCATTGGTCTCGTACCTCTTTTGCAAGACAATCCTTCAAATACTTGAAGACGGGTGTGTGTGTGTGTGTGTGTGTGTGTGTGGTTTTCTCCACTCTAGACTAAATAATCCCCAGCTGTTTTGATTCTCAAATGGAATGCTTTCTAGGCTATGGGACATCCTAGAGCTCCTTTGTATTGGCTCTGCTTGACAACAGCCCTTCTAAAATGCAGTACTAAGAACTTGATACTGAAGCTGTGATGTGCCTAGGGCAGAACACAGCAGAACTATTACCTCCTTCACCCTGAACACTAGTATTAATGTACTCTGAAATCATGTTAACTTTATCTGGCTGCCACGTTACACTTTTGTCTTAGGTTTTCTGGATGACACATTTTAAATCTGATTTACTGCCTCATGGCCTTGTTTTCTTAATTTGACCGGACAGCCTGTGAGTTCATTCCAGCTTCAGGTCTATCAGCCCATGAGTCTGTGGTCCAGCTATTACTCTTTTTATCTTGTTTCCACATTGTCGGCTTTTATTACAATTTTTGTGAATTTTTCATGATGCTGCCAATACCAAATTTGCCTCTATTCCTTTTCATACATTTATTATCCAGTATGACATGTCCTGTACTAGGTTTAGTTTCATTTCTCTAGGCAGTGCTGGAGTTTTTTTTTTTTAAATGTTGGAAGTCCTCTTCCTCACCTTCACCCCCCCATCCCTTTTGTCCATATCCTCATCCTGTTTTACCTGAGACAATTCTTTTAAGGATTTTTTTAAATTAGGCAATTGGAGTCAAGTGACTTGCCCAGGGTCACCCAGCTAGTGTCTAGTGTTTGATCTGAGACTGGATTTGAACTCGGGTCCTCCTGACTTCAGGGCCAGTGTTCTATCCACTGTGCCATCTAGCTGCCCCTCTTTTAAGGTTTTTAGATGTTACTTTTTTCTCTTCTCTCAATTTATTTGGGGGGGCACGTTTATTTATTTGTATGGGCAATACAGAGGAGCTGGGATCTTTCACAGCTTTGCCATTTTTTGCAGTAATCCTTGACTTCACTGACTGCATAGCTGGAGCAGGTCTTGCGGTATCTGTGGAAACTCACTGTACCTGGAGCCTGTTGTTCTGACCAGATGTCAATCACTCCCCAACCTTTTGCTATCCTGCAAAGCAACTTAGCTCTTCCTGGATGCTGCCCCTCCTGCGCATTCCTCCTGGAGGTTGAAGTGTATTTAAAGCCTGCCCTTCCTGCTCCTTTTGGGCACTCCTGTACTCCAGTGCTGTGTGATGTCCCAAACTGTAATTCCCTTGCCTCAATTAAAGATCCTTGTTGTTGCTACTTTGGTAGCCCTTTTTATTTTGGGTTGACACCACCTTGGGAGAACTCTCAATAAATAATTCGTCAACGACATGGGGATCAGCAATCCATGTACATGCAAACCACTAACAAGTTATAGCAAAGGCAAACGCTAACTTACTAGTACCAAATTAGAACAAAAGAAATGAGAAAATACTGAGAATAGTCATAATTTTCCAACCTGACCTGTTTAAAACAAATTGTTGACTCTGAAAAATGGGAAGCGGATAAAAGAAAAGCCCAATTCAAGTATTACCGTTTTAAATATTTATCTGATATGAAATAGCCATCACAATGAGAAGGCCAAAATAAGTGAGAAAACAACCATGATCAGATATCTCTTTATTTTGCCAAGTAGAGAAACATGGTTTTCAAAGATAACAGTTTAGAGTAAAATTGTATTTGCAAAACATCATGGAGTACAATGGCAAAAAATTCTGACCAATGTGTCGCATCACAAAACAGTGAAAAGCAGTTAAGGAGAAAGTGAACATGTGCAAATTTTGGTGTAAGACCCCAATGATTACTAGTTAAAAAATGATATTGTACAGGAAGGATTTTAAATGGGTAGTTTGAAAGAAGGTAATATACTAAAATTTTCGCAATGGAGAATGTCTAGCTATTTTTATTAGGTCACGTATCTAGTAACAGACAAGATTTCCTTAATTTTGAAGACACTGGAAATCTAAGTATCTTGGCTAAACAGTCATTCACAACAAAATAAAGAAAAACAAAAGTTACGTTATTTGTCAGCCTATTTTTACAGAAATGTTTTCATTGGAGTAGGTACTTTCTCTACTGATAAAATAACACAATGTGTACTCTGTCTCTTTTTTTTTTTTAAGTTGATGTAGTAGGGGGAAAAAAATCTTTTGGTGATGAACCTCCCTGAAATGAGTAAGACTGGTTCTCAGAAAACCAAGTCTGCTGCCAGGTCTACGGTTGAAATCTTTCTCATTTGGTAGGACCTGCCCGACCTCAGGCTTTACTGGTATGACCTTCAAGCATGTCACGTAGAGAAGAGGTGTCACACGTGTGGCCCACTGGCCCATAATACTTGCAGGTGAGGCCCGAATGGGATTAAAATGTAATTGGGAAATATTTGACAAATAAAATACAATAAAACATAATATTAATGAGGTTTTCTAAGTTAATTTGCATCCCACGGGGATCCTTATGTATGCATTAGTAGCCCCTGTTTTTATTTGAATTTGACACCACTGATGTAGAGGTATCAGAGGAATACTTTGATGGAGGGTATTTTTTGACAAGTTATAAATAGCTTTTTATATACGGAAACAACTTTGGCATTTTTTCTACAAAGAGAAAACTTACTTTTTTTTCCTGATGTTTATATGTCCATTATTTTATAAACTTTATCAGGTAAAAATAAATGATACTCAAGAGAAATGGGTTTGAAACAGCAGAAAAAATAATTTTTCTTTTGCAATCTTGGTCACGGAAAAGTACATTTTCACCTAATAAATAGCTAGTTTCATAACTCAAGATTAGATTCCTGGAGCGTAAGGTAAACTAGGAAAGCAAACAAAGACACATTTGATAAGAGAAAAAGAAAAAAATGAAGCAGTAATGTTAACAAGACAACAAATAAATGACTAGAAAATTTTTCAAAAAGTCTACCAGACACTGAAATGTCACTGAAGAAAGTGATTGTCAAGATTTAGTGAAACAGTGGATGACTTGAAGAATGTCCCATTCAGTACCAACACCAGGACAATAAAACTCTTGGAAGCCAGTAGCTATTCTGATTTTGTCCACACACCCCAAGTGTCCAGCCCCATGCCTTGTATGTAGGCAGTGAACTGGGCTGTCACAGCTAATCAGCTCATTAATTTAGTCAAATAAAAATAGAAGTTAGGTGAATTTAAGGAACTTTATTAGAAACTGTTGGTATAATACAGCCACTAAATATCTTCATATTTCTGCAGAAAATTACTTTAGTGGTGAAAATGGTGCTGGAATGAGAAGCATGTTTTCATGAGATTTCAGGTGGTTGCAACTCTCTCGAACTGGGGGGGAAAATCCAGTATGTTAGTAATAATAGTAAGTTAAGACAGCATTTACATCTACAAAGCATTTTATGGCCCTTAGCCTCACTTAATTCTCATAACCCTAATAAGGTAGATATTATTTCCAATTTATGAATGAGGAAACTGAGGCAACCAGCGAGTGGCAGATTTATGGGCTTGAATTCTGGTCTTTGGACTACAAATTTGGAAGTCTTTTCACTATGCAATGCTGCCTCTGACAAAGCTACACAAACCTTCGGGCTTAATATGTTTTGAACCCAAAGTAATTCATGTTGAACAAGGACCCAGTCCCCCAGCTCACCAGCTGCCACCACCCGGGCATCTTCATGGGATCTATGCCTTCCAGCTGCGCGACTGTCTGCTGTCTCAGTCCACCAAAGAACATGAACTGTGGAAACCAAAACCGAACATCTTATTACTACAAGTAAAAAATCCAAGTGAATCAACAGCACTGTTTTATTCTTTAATACACTTTTCCAGTAAGAGAATACCATAGAGATAGAGGTGGAATTCCAAAAGATTTCAGAATAAATAGAGCATTAGAAAGCATCTTTGAGATAAAAATGATCCAGAACATGGCTCCCAAAACCTTGATTAAATTTATTAAGGAAAAATATAAAGTCCTTTATATTAGGCTAAAAAACAGCAATAACATTAAGTCCAGGAGAGGGAAGACCAGGTTTACCAGCAATTCAACTGTAAAAGATGTAGAGGTCTTAGCTACCTCATCATTAATGAGTCAGCATTGTGAGGTACCTGTCCTAAAAACTCATCCAATCTACAGCATCCAAACCAATGAGCTAAGGAGCCCTAATATACAATGTTAAGACCTCAGCTACAACACTGTTTTCAGTTGTGCAAGCCACACGTTCTAAGAGACAATCTGTAGGATGTCTAGAAGAGGGCAGCCAGGATGAGGAAGAGTAGAAGGACTGGGAGTGCTTAGCCTGGAAAAGAGAAGGCTTCTGGAAAACACCATAGGATCTTTTAACTATTTAAAGCAGGGGTTGGTACGATGCATTTGAAATATCCTATATATGTTGTCTCCCCTTATTAGAATGTGGACTAGCTCTTGAGAGCAGGGACCGTTGAGTTTTTGTATTTGTACTCCCAGCACTTAGCACAGCGCGTTACACATATTAAGAGCTTAATAAATGCATTTTTCATTCAATCATTCCTTGTGGCTTCCAGAACGCTATGGGTGGAAGTTACAAGAGGACAAATTTTGGATCAACACAAAAAAACTCTGCTATAGGTAATAAAATGGAACACTTAGTGGAGCAATGAGAGTCTCTAAGTGTTCAGAAAATTTCTGGTGACCATTCATCAGATAAGATCTTTATTTTTTTTTTTTTAATTTGTTGGGAAGTTAACGCCAGATAACTGTAGGAGGCAGCTTGGTAGCTCAGTGGAGAGAGAACTAGGCCTGGAGTCAAGAAGACCTGAATTTAAATTCACCCTCAGACCCTTACTAGCTATTAGCTGTATGATCCTGGGCAAGTTACTCAACTTCTGTCTGCCTCAGTTTCCTTAACTATTAAGTGAGGACAATAATGAGACCTACCTCCCAGGGCTGTTGTGAAGATCGAGTGAGATAACATTTGTAAAGCGTACATAAAGTGCCTGGCACATAGTTCATACTTAATAAATCCTTGTTTCCTTTTTTTCCTTCCTCCTAAAATCCCTTCTAACTGCAATGATACCATGATTCCTTTCAAATGAACTCAACAAACACTTATTGGGCTTTCTGCAACCTTTATTTTACACTGTTATCTTAAAAATGAGGAAATGGAGGGGCAGCTAGGTGGCACAGTGGATAGAGCACCAGCCCTGGAGTCAGGAGTACCCGAGTTCAAATCCGGCCTCAGATTCATGATACTCACTAGCTGTGTGACCCTGGGCAAGTCATTTAACCCCATTGCCTAGCCTCCCCGCCCCCAAAATGAGGAAATGGGGACCCAGAGAGGTTAGACTACAGGCCCACAGTCCCAGTGTTAGTTAGTTAGGATTCATATGCAATTCTCCTGGTTGCTGTAATAGTCACTCTCTAAGTCAGATATAAGGTGATTCATTTTTCCTGGCATTCAAAAGGTAAAGTCTAACATTTTCAATCAGTGAAACATGCAACAAATAACCTAGTATTCCATTCGTCAGATAAAATACATCTGCATCCACAAAATATTAGAAAACTCTTCAGTGACTCTGAGCTCATTTATGTAAATACTCATAACCATCAATGCCTTCTCATTCTATGGTCCTGTTCTATATCCTCTATAGGGAATCCATTCAATGAGCTTGGGAGGCCTCAGCCTCTTGAAAACAAAGCTATGCTTTATTCTGCTTCTTTTTAAAATTCTTTACAATTCATATGTAACAACCTCTTCATGCCTACCCTATGCCTCTCCATTGCTTTTTGAATGATTTAGAGTTTTAGTTCTTCAGACTGTGGTATTCCAGTCTTCACAGTCAAACAGCATCATAAGAATACTGCTGTTTAATAGAGGGACCTTTGCTTTAGGGAGAAGGTTGGGGGGTCATTAAAAGCACTGTACATCTTCCCCAAAACAGCACAGGACAGCCTGTTCTCCTACTCCTACTTAATGTTGGGCCAGTTCATTTCGCACTTGCACGTCTGCTTAGGATTAGCTCTATTGATTGTACATCCACCTATATAGCATAATTTGGACAATAACTACCCTTTATCCCCTTTGTTTTTTTTCTGTGTTGGTTGAGAGGCTAGACTTTTTTGATCTAATTTAGGAGGTTTTGCAATGTTCTGGGGCTTGATGCAATAAAAACAGGAGTATTTGAAGTACCTCCTCATTGGTGAGGAATCATCTTCTCTTCGATTTAGACTCTTCCCTGAATAACAAGATGATCTCTTCTGTAACATCTTTCAAAGAATCCTTTATAATTCTGCCCTATGTATAAAGAATACCTTATTCTACTGAATCAAATGCTTTTCTGCAGTCAATAAGCAGTGAGCACAGTAGGAACTTGGACCTTCTAAACCTTTTAGTCAATGGTGTGACCATAAAGATGTGACCTGCTGCAAAATATTGTTTGTGCAAAATTTCCATTCCCTTCCTAAGTCTGTCCTTGGTATATGTGTGAATATTTAAATACATGAAAAAAATGTGTATATATCTCTCTCTCTACATATATATGTATATCCTAAAGATTTTATAGTGATGGGAAAGTAGCATATGAGACGATCTTCCTTCAGTTACCTTTAAAAAAAGATAAGATTATTGATTTTTTTAAACCAAGGGTTTGCCATCCTCCCTTCTCTTTCAGACATCTTGGGAATCAGACCCTCAATGCCCTCCAAACTGAGTCCCTTCTGGCACAGAATTCCTCTTTCCTTGGTCTAATCTAGCTGCTCTTCTCACTTTTGCTTTCCTCGGTGGTGCTGCTACTTCCTTGTGCACCAGGTCATTTTTCGAGTCCACCTGAGGTACTCTCCTGTAACTGACAAAGTAATTTATTATAAAAAGTCTACACATCATTTGCATTTTTCATCTTTTTGCTGTACTTCTCTTGTTTTTAAATGTTTTGGGGATGATTCGGTTTTGCCAATTTAAATAAATTAGTAAACAAAAAATAATTTTGGCTAGATACATAAAGGTCATATAGAATAATAATAACATCATTCCTATTGCCCTTTAAGGTTCAAAAAGAGCTTTTCAGATTCTATCTCATTTGACCCTCTCAACAACCCTGTAAGATGGATGCTATTATCATCCCTGTTTTACAGAGGAAGAAACTGAGGCTGAGAGAGGTCAAGTGACTTCCCAAGGGTCACACAACTAGCCAGTGATTTGGAGTCAGCTCTTCCTGACTCCCAGGAATAGCTCTCTGCCCATTCTGCTACCTAGCTGTTTCACAAAATGAAACCTGTCCTAAGGAGAAAAGGGAAAAAAAAATATCCGGATAACTTAGTGACAGATATTTTGGATAGCATTCCTGCAAAGAGAATATTTTTTATTATCAGAAACAAATTCAAGCTGTACCTCTATTAAGTGTTCCATATTCTGTGTGGAAAACTCCAATCAGTTTTGAATAGCCTACTTGGATATGAGTATTAACTGCTTTTTGAAAGTGTTCACCCCACAGAGCTGGCCCACCAGGCTTCATCTGAAAGGTAACAAGTTCATAGACTCCTAGAGAAGGGAAAAAAAATTAGAAAATGAATCAGTCATAAAATGAATATAAGCAAATTCCAATCATGTTCATTTTGGCTCAAGTATAGCTACCTACTGGGGAGCTAGGTGGCACAGTGGATACGGTGCTGGACGTGGAGTCAGGAGGACCTGAGTTCAAATCCAGTCTCAGACATTTACTAGCTGTGTGACCCTGGGCAAGTCACTTAACCTTGTTTGCCTCAGTTTTCTCATCTGTAAAATGAGCTGGAGAAGGAAATGGCAAACCACTCCAGTATCTTTGCCAAGAAAACCCCCAATGGGGTCACGAAGAGTTGGGCATGATTGACTAAACAACAACAAAAAAAGCTATCTGTATAGACAGTGTGTGTGGTAGATAAAGAGTTCTGGGCTTGAAGTCAGAGAGATTCAAGTTCACATCTAGCTCCTGACATTTATTGGTTAGGTGAATCTGAGTAAGTCCCTTGATCTCTAAGTGCCCTAGGCATCTTCCTAGTACTTCTCTCCTACATCGTAGATGGGTTCTGATCTGCTTTGCTAAAGGGCCTTTCTACACTACAAGTTGTTCATTCTGAAGAAAAAAAAAATCCAGATCCTTCTTATATTCCTTGAGTACCAACGTATATACATGGAGTTGGAGGTCTACTTGTATTTGACAGTTAAAAATCATTTGCATGTGTTATGTACAAGAAAAAGAGTGTTAGTTACATTCTGAAAATGTCTAAACTCTACCATTCCCAATAGTCTGTTGTGGGAATTTACAAGGTGAATGGGAATTCTGAGTTGCTTCAATATATCCATTAGAAACAACCCTTAAAACATTTTTGTTTGGCCTCCTATATTTTCTTCCTTTCCCTAAATTTTCAATGAAAATATATGTATGTTTTCTTTCTATGTATTTTACTTTACTAGATTACCAGTTTTGGCAATAGATTTTAAGTGATTCTTCTGTATTTTTCTAATTCCAAACCAGTAGAGCTTATTTTATTGTTCCTTTCCACCCATATACATGCTTAAAAGTAATCTTGCCTCTCTAGTAAAGAAATAAAACTATTTTCCCTGGCAACTGTAGAGAGAGAAGAAAAGGGGACCCAAGAAATAACCCTGGGAAAACAGTTGGAGTGAATAAGGAGCCAGTGAAGGTAATGTTGAAGAATCATTAGTTTAACAGATGGAAAACTATGACTTGATATTACAACAGAGGCAAGGCATATGTGTTCACTGGTGCTCAAACACTAAGAGACCTGGGTTAGGATTAAAAAGGAACTAAGGAAAAAAACCTCTTAGTAATATAAAAATAGTAAGAGTGGAACAATAGGTAAACAAGATTAAAAATCAATCTATAATTTATTATGCCTGGGTCCTGGTCCAGGTTTGGCCACCTCTGGGCTGTGAACTTGGAGAAGTTATTTGAGACCACTGGACTTCATTTTCCACATTTATAAAATGAAGGAGTTGGATTAGATCAGGGTAGGGAACCTGCGGCCTCGGAACCACATGTGGCCCTCTAAAGTCCTCAAGTGCGGCCCTTTGACCGAATCCAAACTTCACAGAAAAAATCCCCTTAATAAAAGGATTTGTCCTATAAAACTTGGACTCAGTCAAAAGGCCTCACCCAAGGACCTAGAAGGTCACATGTGGCCTTGAGGACTCAGGTTCCCCACCCCAGGATTAGATAATTTCTAAGGTCCCTACCAGCTTTAAAACTCTATGGATTATATAACATTTTAGAAAAGAATTTGGAATGAAGTAAAGACTTTAATTTTCAATAGGTTCTTTTTTTGACAAATTATTTAAGTTTATATTAAAAATGATAAGCTAAAAAGTTATGCCTTTCTAATCTAACCTTGTCTTAAAAAGTGGACTGAGGTAATTATTTCTTTAAGTCAGCAAGAAGAGAAATCAGCAAGGAGGCAATTTACTGGATACGTTCACAGATCTTTAGAGAAAGTTTTCATATGAACTGAGAAATAAGAAAGAAAGAGGAAGAAAAAATGTTAGACCAGAATAAAAGAACCTGTTCCCAGTAATGACCTGCTTTATACATTTAATCTTAATGAATGCAAATTACTAGGATTAGTTGTATTAAAATCTGTACACTAACATGCCTATATTCAGGAGTTAATGTTAGAGCATTGATTCCCATGTTTATTTTTATATTTTAACTTTCAGACTCTTAAAAAACCTTTCTAAAGATATTATTTCTTTCTTTCTAGCCAAAACCTGACCCATCAGCCTTTACCTGTGACCTTCTAACTCTGGAAACATGAATTTAAATTATGACTAAGGCTAAGGAATATCAAGATAACCTTCCCCTATGTGCCCTTTGGAAGATACTGTAATATTTAATTTTTTTTCCTCCATGGATAAGTAAAAAAGGGCCAATGGACAGCTTTTCAATAATCATCACTCATTCCTATAGAAGTTAAGTAACTGCTCTCAGTTTTTTGAACATGACACTTTTAGAAAAGCCTTGCTGGCTTAAAAATCTTATCAATGACTCTACTTCAGGAACAACTCTACTGACTGAGAAGGATTCACCTTCTTTAGGAGGCTTTACTATTTTGCACCATGGTACTAGATAAGTTATTTCATTCTTCTGTTGGACCATAAATGGTAGGTTTAGGGAAATATATTTTTCTTGCCATTCTTTATCCTTGGCTAAAGCTTCCCGAACTTGAGCTCGATGAGCAAAATTATCTGTAGGAAAAAGAAAGAAATGTTAAGAATAATGAAAATACAAAGTTCTCAGTTTCATTAAGGGTTAAACTAAAGGTCACCTGCATTTTGAATAAAAAATAATACAAATAAAATGATAATGAACTTTTACTTCTGAAGTATGTGCCTTCTTTGCTTCTCTCTTTTTTGGTGCAATTAGTGAATTAATGGGATTCTAGTATACTTCCTGTCCTTTTCCCCCCCTCAAATTATTTATTTTGTCCACAGTGTAAATTAAATAAATCTAACGAACCATAAGAATCTGACATGGAAAAATGCTCAAAGAAGAGTGAAATATTAGACAGGGTATTGTATTTGTAGTAAGAAAAAGCTGAATTCAGATGAATGAATGAATGAATACATATATGAATAAACCAAACTCTTTATTATATGCTGAGCACTAAGGATACAAAAAGGTAACCTCTGCTTTCAAGGAGCTCACATTCTAGTGGGGAAGATAACACCTGTGGAAGGTTTCAGCTCCAAGTCAGTTGGAAAGGGCCCATGATCCTTAGGGGACATCACTGGCAAAACAGATGGTGATGCCTCTTCTTTAAGGTCATTTATGCTGATAAAATCCTATTAGTTTCTGGTGTCAAACTTTTTACCAAAGTCACGGACTTTGGTGGCAAGAACTTTCTTTTCTGGATCTTCAGAAACTGTAGCTGCCACACCTGCAGAAGCAGTTGCCAGGCTGCATCTCCACCAGGATTGCAACCTGGGGGCACTGGGCTGGAAGTATTGCTATTTCCAAGGCTTTTGGGTTCAGGGTCCTGGGTTGTCTTCATCAAGGTCTGAGAGGAGATGGTAGGCACGATGATGGTGGTGGTTCCACTTGCAGATCAAGTAGACCTTTATTATAATACTTACTTAACATCTGAGTCTCTGGCAGACTCTAAACTAAAGCTATAAATGGCATGCAATTTGTGTCAGAATTGTTTGCACAAAATCTAGGTGCCTAGGGTGTAAGGTGAAAACAGAGAAAGACTGAATTAGGGGCATAGGTTAATTGTGTTGTACTTTGTGTTTATGGCTATGAGCATTATATTTTGTGGAACATTATTCTGAGTTGATGTAATAAGCATCTGTGCATCAAAGAAGTTCTTCTGTAACAGAAAAATATAAAAAAAAATCGATGTGTACTATTTACTTCTTATTTTAGCATTTCAAAAGATGTGTGATTTCAACAATATAAGTGCTTTATCCAACAATCTATACCTAAGCAGACAGTTTTATAAGTTGTTATGTCTAAAAAAATTCCTTCATGGTGGCCTCTGCAGTGATAAGACCTTCCAAACTCAGAAAGGCTGGTCTTTGGCTGATAATCCATGATCAGACCAATTTTTAAAGCCATCCAGGGCAGCAGGGCTTCCTTGAGACCGGTTCTCCAATTACAACTTCTGAGACTCCAGGGTTACCTCTGTGTTATGATGAGGTATCAAGGCTGAACTTTACTGGAGAATGTATAAAATTAAACACTACTGGACAGTAAGACATACTAGAATAAGAAGGTAAAATAGTAGTAGCTAATGTTTATACAGAATTTTAGCTACATTATCTTAGTTAGTGTGGTGATGAAGAAACAACTTACACCACAGTAAAAGCATCTGGGTTTAAAACCCACCACTTATGGTCATTACATGGGTGACCTTAGGCAAATCCTTTAACCCCTCCAGGCCTCAAAGTTTGCTCATCTAAAGTTACAGGGTCAGATTAGATAACTTTCAGCTGTAAGTCCCAATAACCACACAAGGACAGTTAGTTACTATTATCCCTATTTTAAAGATGAGGAAAATGAGGTTAGAGCAGTTAAGTGATTTACGCATGGTCACAAGGCTATTAAGAGTCATTACGTCGGATTCAAATCCTGGTCTCTCCTGACTAAGTGTAGTGATAATGTCATGCTCAAACAGAAAAAAAAGTAGAACAGGCAGCACTTGGGGAGGGGCAAGTGTGGCCTTTGTTGTGTGTTTCACTTTTTATGCTATGTTCCAGACTGCTTCAATGGGGCAGGAAGGCATCCTCCTATAACTTCCATGCTGTAACAGAGTAGATTGCAGCCCTTTTGGTTCTGGAATGCATGGAAATGAAAAAGAATGGTTCCATTACAAAAAGTGGCTAAACCTAGTCCGTGGCACAGAATTTCACCAGCCACCAAGAAGTCCAGTTCAGGAAGTGAGGTTCCTTTTTCATTTAGCAATTATACCACATCAAGGCACCTAAATAATAGATGACAAATACTGTTACACCCTTATGTTAGGAGGAATATCTATCTGCCAGGGTCCCTGTCACATGGGCTAACCTGTGGCCTCAAGGCCACATGTGGTCCTCTAGGTCCTCAAATGTGGCCCTTTGACTGAATCCAAACTTCACAGAACAAATCCCTTAATAAAAGGGCCACACTTGAAGACCTAGAGGGCCACAGGTTCCCCACCCCTGACTAGGCTTTTCTTTTCCTTAAAAGGTACTGAAACTGTCCTTGATACCTGGTTGGCTCAGGGGACTAAAGGCTTGGGTCACTGATACAGCTTCCTAGTTTCCAGAGTACAAAATAGCCAAGTCATTATTTCTAGCTCTTTCAGAAAGCTTCTGCCTGGAGACCAGCAACCTGGAGACCAACACTGGCACAGGAAAGCAATATTCACCTGGAATAAAGGTTGTACTCTTGTTGTGTATCCTCTGAGTATCCTTCAGAGGAGGGCTTTGAATATCCTTCCCCTGTTCTAGCTAAGTAAATTCATTTTTGTTAACTGCTAAATGATTCATGAGCTATCTCATTTTGGTCCAATCTTGAATCTGAGGAATTAGCCTGGCCTACTACAAACCTATTATCTACACACAGATTGTCCATAGTGCAGACTACCTATGCATCTTCAGAATCACTCACTTATACCGATGAATGGAAAACATCTCTCTTCATTCAGCACATCCCCTTGTCTGCTTTTCTCTTCATCCTGTGCCTTTCTGCCTCTTATAATGCTCTGGACAAGACTGTCCTCAAGTTGTTAAGTCAAAGTTGGGCAAGTGATTTAAAGATTTTATTAACTAATTTTTGAATTACTGGCACCAAAAAATATAGCACCAAAAAAGTTAAAATCTCACTATGTAGCATTTTATAGATGAAGAAACCAAAATCTAGAAAACAATTTAAATACAGAATAAATGAATGCACAAAAGGACAATTGCTTATTGTTAATATTTCTGGAACCAACTTATACAATTTTTGTAGTCATCCTTTTTCTCCAATATTGTATAGATCAATTCAACATTGAACATATTTCTTTCTTTTTTGCTTAACAATTCTATTTAGCAAATTTATGCATAATAATTCAGATCTAAGATACATTATATATATACATCACATAATTTCTTAGAATGAAAATCTAAATTAAACATTTAAAATGGCATGACATACCATATTTCCAAATATGAAAGACTTTATTCATCACACCTCCAAACTCTTGTCTCCAATATCCAACTAATTCAGAGTGAGCTGTACGAAGGTGAATATGTTTATTAGTGTTTTCCAGGAATTCATTCATCTTGGCTGGTTGTATGATATAAGTACGAAATTCATAGAACGTCCCATCATATTGTCTGGGACCTGTAGCAAAAGATGCACATACCTGAAGAAAAAGTAAAGCAAATTGAAATATCTCAGAAATCCAGTTTTATAGTCTGTCAAATTAGAGACAAAGACCAAATGTGAGCTTTATTGGGAAACAGAACATTTATGAATGAATTTGCCGCACCCAGGCTTACATATATCTGTTGGCAGTTACAAACATTTAGTTTAAATTATGGTTTCTTTAGATAATTACATTTTGTTAGACAATAACTTGAATTTGGAAAGCATATGCCAGATCTTGTTACTTCCTTCTGAAAATTTGATTTTGGTCAATTTTTTTTTCCCTTTCTTGAATATATCAGGGTGTCTTAAACTTTTTCCATTCTTAGGCACTGCATGGCCTGGGGCATATGCAGTCCAAAGTGCACATGCTGTGTTCAGAACCAAGGCTGCAGTGAAGTTGCATGATGTAACATGGGCAAGTACTGCCAGCAACACCTCAGATTCATTATGTATTTGATTTTTAATTTGTTCAGAAACCTTTTACTGTTGCCAAAATTTTTGTGATTCCCATATGGGGTCGTGACCCACAGTTTAGGAAGTGTTGGACTCTATTACTTCACATAAGCCTTCCCATAGTCCTTTGAATTCTTTATGCATTGGTTAATTCTTACAGCATAACATACCATTATAATTACATACCATAATTTAAATAACTATTCCCCAATGAAAAGACATCTATTTTGTGTCTTTTTTCTTTCTGTCTTTTATTAAATACTGTGAGGGCTATTTTTGTACACTAGGCCTTTTTTCCCCTACTAATAACTTCCTTAGGATATATTTTTTTAAAAAGTGGATATATGTAGTCCTAATAGTGCAATCAATCTCTTGTTCAAAGGACATGCATAATTTTGTAACCTCTATGGTAAAATTCCATATTGCTTTCCAAAGAGGTTGGATCAATTCTAAATTCAACAAGAATATAGTTGTGTACCTAGTTTACCATATTCATGTCAGGAGTGGATTTTGTATTTTTTTGACTTTCCTAATTTAGTAAGTGTCAGATAAAATCTCAAAATTATTTGGCATTTCCTTTATTATTCAACTACTTAACATAATGGAAGAGTCTCTTTTTTTTTCCAATTCAATAAACATTTTTTAAGGCTCATTTAGTATTTTATTTTCCCCAATTACTTGTAAAATCAATTTTTAACATTCATTTTTAACACTTTGAGTTCCAAATTCTCTTCCTTCCCCCCCCACCCCCACATTGAGAAGGCATGCAGTTCAGTATAGGTTATGCATGTGTAGTCACACAAAACATATGTCCATATTAGTCATGTTTTGAAGAAAATAGATTAAAAAAACCTCAAGAAAAATAGAGAAATTAGAAAATAGAGAAAGTAAAAAAAAGTATGTATGCTTCAATCTATTCAGACACCATCAGTTCTCTCTCTGGAGATAGACAGAATTTTTCATCATAAGTCCTTTGGAGTGGTCTTCAACCATTGTATTGCTGAGAATAGCTAAGTTATTCACAGCTGATCATCTTACAATATTGCTGTTATTTTGTACACAGTACATTTACTTTATGTCAGCTTCTGTTAAGTCTTTCCAGACTTTTCTGAGAGCATCTTCCTCATCATTTCTTATAGTACAATAACATTCCATCACAATCACATACCACAATTTGATCAGCCACTGCCCAACTGATGGGTATCTCCTCAATTTCCAATTTTTTTGTCACCAGAAAAGAGCTGTTATATTTTTGTACATATAGGTCCTTTTCCTTTTTTGTTTTTTAATCTCTTTTTGGATACAGAACTAGTAGTGGTATCGCTAGGTCAGATAGTTTTATAGTCCTTTGGGCATAGTTCCAAATTGCTCTACAGAATGGTTGAATCAGGTCATAACTCCACCAATAGTGCATTAATGTCTCATTTTTTCCCACATCCCCTCCAACATTTGTCATTTTCCTTTTCTGTCCTACTAACCAATCCAATAGGTATGAGGTGGTACCTTAGAATTGTTTTAATTTGCATCTCTCCAATCCATAGTGATTTAGAGCATTATTTTTTCATATGGCTATAGATAGCTTTGATTACTTCATTTGAAAACTTTCCATACCTTTTGATCACTTATCAATTGGGGAATGGCTCTTATTTTTATAAATTTGACTCAGTTCTCTATCTTTGAGAAATAAAGCTTTTATCAAAGAAACTTGCTTCAAATTTTTTCCCCAGTTATGACTGCTAAGCTGTATTTTCCCCTCTGTTTATTCTATTCTTTCTCTTACCCTATACCTCCTCAAAAGTGTTTTGATTCTGACTACTGCCTCCCCCAATCTGCCTTGCCTTCTATCATCCCCACCCTTCTCTTATCTCCTTCCCCTCCCACTTCCCTGTAGGTTAAGATAGATTTCTACACCCAATTGAGTGTATATGTTATTCCCTCTTTGAACCAATTCTGATGAAAATAAGGTTCACTTCCTCCTTCCCCCTCATTTTTCCCTCCCCTGTAAAAGCTTTTACTTGCTTCTTTTATGTGAGATAATTTTCCCCATTCTACCATTCTCTTTCCCTTTCTCCTAGTGCATTCCTCTCTCACTCCTTAATTTTATTTTTTTTAGCTATCATCCCTTCATATTCAACTCACACCTGTGCCCTCTGTTGATATATACTAACTGCCCTAATAATGTGAAACTTCTTATGAGTTACAAGTATCATCTTCCCATGAAGGAATGTGAACAGTTAAACCTTATTGAGTCCCTTATAATTTCTCTTTCCTATTTACCTTTTTATGCTTCTCTTGAGTCTTATACTTGAAACTCAAACTTTCTATTCAGCTCTGGTCTTTTCATCAAGAATATCTGAAAGTTTGCTATTTCATTGAATATCAGTTTTTTCCCCTAGCAGATTACACTCAGTTTTGCTGGGTAAGTAATTCTTGGTTGTAAACCTAGTTCCTTTGCCCTCCAGAATATCATATTCCTAGACCTCTGATCCTTTAATGTAGAAGCTGCTAAATTTTGTGTTATCCTGACTGTGGCTCCATGATACCTGAATTGTTTCTTTCTGGCTGCCTGCAACATTTTCTCCTTGACCTGGGAAATCTAGAATTTGTCTATAATATTCCTGGGAATTTTCATTTTGGGATCTCTTTCAGGAGGTGATTGGTGGATTCTTTCAATTTCTATTTTACCCTTTGATTCTAGAATATCAGGACAATTTACCTTGACAATTTCCTGAAAGATGATGTCTAGGGCTCTTTTTTGATCATGATTCTCAGGTAGTAAAAATGATCTCTCCTGGATCTATTTTCCAGGTCAGTTATTTTTCTAATGAGATATTTCAGATTGTCTTCTATTTATTCATCTTTTGGTTTTATTTTATTGTTTCTTGATTTCTCATAGTCATTAGCTTCCATTTGCTCCATTTTAATTTTTAAGAAATCATTTTCTTCAGTGAGCTTTTGGACCTCCTTTTCCATTTGGCCAATTCTACTTTTTACAGAGTTTTTTTCTTCAGTGAATTTTTGTGCCTTTTTTTCCATTTGGCCAATTCTGTTTTTCAATGCATTTTCTCCTCATTGGTTTTTTTTTTTCTCCTTTGGGTACCTCTTTTACCATTTGATCTAGTTTATTTTTAAGGTATTATTTTCTTTAGTATTTTTTTTTGTCTCCTTTACCAAGAGGTTGACTCTTTTTTCATTATTTTCTTGCATCCCTCTCATTTCTCTTCCCAATTTTTCCTCTATCTCTCTTACTTGATTTTTGAAATCATTTTTGAGCCCTTCCATGACCTGAGACCAATTCATATTGTTCTCAGAAGCTTTGACTTTGTTATCATCTTGAGTGTGTTTTTTGATCTTCCTTGTCACCACAGTAACTTTCTTTAGTCAGAGTCCATCCCCCCCCAATCGTTGTTTGCTCATTTTCCCAGCCTATTACTTAAATTTTAATTCTTTGTTAAAGTGGGGCTCTGCTTCCAGGGTAGAGGGTGCATTGTCCCAAGCTTCAGGGTTTTTTGAAGCTATTTTCAGAGACACTTCTAGGGACCTTAAGTTTTCAATTCTTTTTGTGGGTTTTGCTGCTCCAGGAATTGTTTTATGGCATTATTTGAAAGTGTTCAAAAAGGACCCACAAGTACAAAAATATTTATAGCAGCTCTTTTTGTGGTAGCAAAGAATTGGAAATTGAGAGGATGCCCATCAATTGGGGGAATGGCTGAACAAATTGTGGTATATGAATGTAATGGAATACTATTATGCTATAAGAAATGATGAACAAGCTGACTTCAGAAAAACCTGGAAAGACTTGTATGGTCCCATGCTGAGTGAAGTGAGCAGAACCAGGAGAATGTTGTACACAGTAACAGCCATGTTGTGCAATGACCAATATTGATAAATTTAACCCTTCTCAGCAATACAAGGATCTAAAACATCTCCGAAGGCCTCATGATGGAAAATGCTATCCACAAAGAAGGAAAGAACTGTGGAGTCTGAATGCAGATCGAAGCATACTATTTACTATTTTTTTTCTCCTGTTGTGTTTTGTTTCCTCTTCTTGGTGGTTCCTCCTATTGGTGCTAATTCTTACTTACAACATCACTAATGTGAAAATATGTTTACTAAGAACGTATATGTACAGCCTATATCGGATTGTGTGCCATGCCATCTTGGGTAGGGAGGTAGATAGGGAGGGGAAGAACATTTAAAACTCAAAAGCTTATGGAAGTGATTGTTGATAATTCAAAATAAATTAATTAAGAAAAAAAATACAAAAAAACCAACAACAAAAAGAAAGCATTCAGAGGGGTTTTGGAGAGAGTTCAGGCAAGTCACTGCCTTTTCTATACTATGGAAGAGTCTTTTTTTAAATATTAGTAGGAACAGAGATTTAAAAGAGCTAACTTACCTACAATGGATCTTGGAATTCTTCCCAACTATTAGTTATAGTACTAGAAATGCTAAGTATAGTAATAAAATAAAAGAGAAGTTAAAGGTATAAATAAGCTATCCTTACTTGCAGATGGCATGATGGTTCACTCAGAAAATTCAGGAGGAGCAGCAAAGAAATTACATGAAAGGATTCACAACTTCAGTAAAGTAGCAATATACAAAAAGAAATTCATAAAAATTATCACCATTCCTACCCAGTAACAACAAAACCTAGGAGGAATTAAAAATAACTATAAAGTACATAAAATATTTGGGAATTAATTTACCAAAACATGTCCAAACTTACAAACAATAACAAATGATTATTTTAGAAATAAAGGAAAACTTAAAATCAATGAAGAGTGATAAAACTGTCCCTGAATGGGCTGTGCAAATATAATAAAAACAAACACTAACTAAATCAATTTATGTATTTAATGCTATAGCAACCTAACTACCAAGTTCAGCACAGTAACTGACACACAGTAGGCTCCTAATATATGTTGACTGACTATTGAATGGCAGCCAGTAAGAGGGCATCTATCTCATCACCTTATGCTTTTTAACTTACTTCAGAAAGAAGAAGGAAAGAAGTGCCAAGGTATAGTAAAAAGCTCTGGGCAAGTCATTTAAGGCCCTTAAGGCAGTTTCCTCTTCCATAAAATAAAGAGGTCAGATAAGATGATCTCTGGGGTACCTCACAGCTTTCGTGACCATAATTCTAGAATATCAAGTCAGAAGGGGCTTTAGGTCATCTTTTCTAATTCCCTGCCATTCTCATGAATCTCTCCTACAAAATCCTGAATAAGTGGCCATCCAGTCTCTGAACCTCTCTAATATTTTAATTATGACCTATTAAATCAGGAGAGCAAGTCATGCAAATTAGCAGGTATACAGGACTTACACAAAACAAATGCTACAAATAATAAAATGATTGCTAAAAATTCAGACAATGGGCCTAATAGAAATTTAATAAGTGTTACCCATACAGTTTATTATTTTATGGTGTCTGTGAAATTGGGCTTGCTTGAACACAGGCAAACATTTATTCATGGCACTTATGGCAGTAGTATGCGGTGAGAATGATTAGGAAATGACTAAGGAATACCTCCAATGGGTGAATTTCTTTTCTTGGGGTGTGTGGGGGAGGGGTGAACTATCAGAAATAATTCCATATGTAACTAATTAACATATGCAACTGAAAGGGAGATCTGCTCCAAGTACTTCACTTTACAGATTAGGAAAGGAAGCCAGGGAAAGTGTCCAAGATTACAAAAGATTTAAGCTGGAAGTCAAACCCAGGTCGTCCTACTCCAAATTCAGTGTTTTTCCCACTAAACTACATCGAGGCTCTAGAGTATTTCAAGATACACAGACCAGATGTTTGTCATTTAATGATCAGCTTAGATAAATGTGGACAAGGTTGCGTTCAGGTGAACTTTTTTGGTCATAGTAATTCAGTGGGTCTGACTGCATTGGGCTTAGTAAAGCCCAGTTTTTGATACAGAATTATCTGCCAAGGATGACAACTCATCAGTTAAATTCCACAATAAAAATGTTTTGAGGTAGTATCATGTAATGGAAAGAACACTGGACTCATACTTCAGAAACTTGGATTTGATTCCCAGCTCATGACAAAATTGTGTGACCTGTGACCCTGGGCAAGTCACTTAAAAAAAATCTATTCATTTATTCATTCAAATCATTCATTTTGGCAAGTCACTTTTAACCTCTCTGCCTCAGTTTCCTCAAGCCAAGATAACAAGCATTTATTAAGTGCTTACTATGTGCCAGGAACTATTCTAAGTTCTAGGAATACAAAGTAAAGCAAAAACAGCCTTTGTTTTCAAGTAGCTCTTGTTCTAATAGGGAAAGACAACAATGAAAACACTATATATATACAAGATAGATGCAGGGTAAACTAGAGGTAATTTCAAAGGGAAGGTGGAAATAACACCAAGGGGTACAACAATACAACCTTATTTTACTTAGCTGTTAAAAGGAAAGCACTTTGCAAAGTCTGAAGAGTCTGAAGTAGGGTTCAAAACAGTGTCCTCCTGATTCGAAGTCCATGTCTGTTTCCATTGTGCCAGGCTACTGGCTACTTAGTCTGGAAACTAATCCATAAGTATTATATTTGCATCGTGGAAGAAATATCCATAAATTGGGGAATTATTGAATTGAGCTTGACTTATGTACTGGACAAACTGGGGTTCTGCTCTAACACTGGAAGCTGGCAGGGAGAGGAAAGGAAGAACCTGTAACTTTGGTGCTTTGCACATAGTAGGTGTATAATAAACTTGTTCAATTGAACTGAATCTCAGGGTTAAAAGATAAAGAAACATTAGGCATTCACTGCTTGCACGCAGGGCAGCTAAGCTGTAGGAAGCAATTTAAATAAGACTGTCATATGCAAAATGAGCCATGGCAATAATAATAACAATATCTAGCAAAATTTTAAAATTTGCAAAGTGTTTCACGAATATTAGCTTATTTGATAGTCGCTACAACCCTATGAGGTAGGTGCTATTATTATAACCATTTCACAGTAGAGGAAACTGAGGAAGACAGAGTTAAGTGACTTGCTCAGGGTTACACAGCTCCCTGACTCCAGGTCCGCCACTCTAACTACAACGCAAAAGGGAGATTTTTTCCTAATGTGTCGTTTTTTGGCTGGAGGGGGAGGGGCGGGGCAAGCGTTTCTTCTTTCACGTCACGCTTTCACTTTTTTCACCCCGTGCCCTTCCCAAACTTTTTAGTCCAAAAAGCAGGCGAAGCCTGATGGGAGTCCAAGACATCCCCAACCTGAGCCGGCTTTCCTGGCTCGCTCCGGCGGAGGTCCGTGCGCAGGAAAGCAGTGGCGCGGAGCTGCCGCTCACCTGCGCCCCCGCCCCGCTCATCTGCGCCCCCCCCGCTCATCTGCGCGCCCCCCAACCCCGAGGGGAACCAAAGAGAGGCTCCCGCTTCTCTTTACCACCCCCCCCCCGCCGGCCTCGGCTTTCCCCCATTGGCCCGCCGCACCCCCACCCAGGAACCAGCAGAAGTGGGGGGCTTCGCACCCACCTCTACCCGGGGCGGGCGCCTCGACAAGGAGGCGACCAGAGTCCCCCAGTGCCTTCGGAGGTGGAACATGGCCCTGCGGGTTCCGGGAAAGGCGTGCCCGAAGACCAGAGGCGCGTCCTCTTTTCGCTGGCCAGCGTTGGAACTGTCCTGTTGGGGAGGGCTTCCTCTTCCGGACTCTCCCCTTCGTGGGTTTTTTTTCCCCTTCCCCCTCCTCTTTCCTGGAAAGCTCGATCTGGCTAAGGCAGCCGAGAGAGGGAAAAATACCCCAACCCCAAACAGGCGAGAACCCTTTGGACAGAAGTGGAAGAGGAGCTGAGCAACCTTGGCCTTTGAGAGAGGGGAAGTTTCAGGCTCTGCCTGGACTCCTTTGTGCCTGCGAATGCCTGCCCATCCTTAAACCCAAAAGAAAACTGTGGTCTGCCTTGTTAGTAATGACCTTCCTCGTCAGAAGCCCACCCCCACACTTTGTTGTCACCCCTGGAAAACATTTATTTTGTAATTCATTTTATAGTTATCCATGTTTGTGTCTTACCAGTCCACTAGAATGTAAGCTCTGTGAGGGCAATTATGCACAGAGCTCTGTCCACTGCACTATGTAGCCGCCTGTTTCAAGATGTTAAAGATTGCTGATTTTTTGTTAATTTTAAAAATTCAACTATGGCAAGTGGCTTTTATTTTAAAAGAGTATGTGTATATGTATATGTGTGTATGTTTGTATATATACACCTACATAGTGTGTTAATATACTAGTATACATATTAGGGAGAGACAGGCAGACATACATGCATTGTGATTTTTTGTTAGCCAAAATATAACTCAGTGTGACATATACATAATAAAGACAAGCATTTGGGACATGTGGATGGAAAGCATTGATTCATCTACCGTTCCTTCTGGCTCAAATTGATTTGCAGCTAATCCAGAGATGATCCTGGGAGTCTGATAGATGAATTGAGTTGTTATCTAGAGTTATCTTTAACAGGAGGATTTGACTTTGCCTGGTTTTTGTCAGTTGGTTTCATTAGTCAGCTGGTTCTTTTATTTGCCACCAGCTTCTCTGCTTGGTTTTGATTCCTCCACCATCATCACGTTCCCCTCCCTGCCCACATCCTTTATAAGCTTATCGTGAGGAAACTCTTCATCATGGATATTGCTTCAGCTTTGGTACTCACACCTTATCAGTGCCCTCACTTGCTTCGACTCTTCTGGAAGGCTGGAGGATGGAGCAGAAAAACTCCCAAAGACTCCCTTTATAGAGGTCTCACCTCTATTTGCTACATGCTGCTCCCCTCCCCCCACTCCCGTTGCCAACAGACGCACACACATTTTTTTAGCTTCTATTTCTGCATTGTCTTCCCCGTTAGATTGTAAACCCGGAGGACGGGGATTGTCTTTTTCTTATTTGTATCTCTAGCACTTAGCCGCAGTGCCGGAAATACAGTAGATACTTAGTATTTATTGTATTATATTGCATTTCCATTGTATTGTATCTTATGGTAGCTATGACTAAAGAGCTATCAGTTTACTCTTTGTGGAAAAGGTTTTAGCTACTATATCTAATTTAGTGGTCTACAAAGTCAGGGACCAGGGCTGATCCCAATGAGCAGGAAGTCAATGAATCCAAGAGTGTGAAGATAGGTTGCATCTCCCCCTTCCTGTGATAGTCAATCAAGGAGCTTGTTTTCAACAGATCCACACCTACCCTTGATCCATCATCCCCAAACTCCCCTAGTTTACCTCCTCTTAAATTGTGTAAGCTTTCAACCTGTCTCCTCCTGCACCAGTTGTCTGCCCCTGGGAGCATTTATAACCTTTAAGAACCTCTTTTTTCACCCAGAACACTTACCTCCTCTCATCCAGGAGTGTGCAATGGGGGAGGGGATTCAGTTTTCTAAGTGAAGCAACGCAAACATTTCCACAGAGCTAACTGCTCAGGCAGACTACATGGCAGAATTACAAATAAGGAGATTTATATTAGGTCTTCCTCTCACATTCTCTTATTCATAAAGTAAGCAAGTATTATTCTTCCCTTTAAAAATATGCCCAATTAAATGCTTCATCGGCTTTAATCTTATAACAACCAATAATTTCATAATTTTTTATAAGTGATACTGAATAATTACAAATAACATTTCTTAACTATAGGCAAACCTGGAAGTTTACAGTTTCTTGAACTACAATACTTCAGAATATTACAACACAAGATCATGTCAACCTCACAGAGTTTAGTTTGAGAAAGACAAACAGGCTCTCTCTCTTTCTGTCTGCTCTTCTCCTGGAAGGGCCGCTATCTCTTTGCCAGCAACATGCTTGCCCTCAGACCCCTTGAGAAGTCTAAAATTGTTAAGAAGTTCATCTGGCACCAATCCGACAGATACTTCAAGATCAAGAGAAACTGGCCTAAACCAAGAGGCATTGACAACCGGGTGTGAAGACTGTTCAAGGACAAGATATTGATGCCCAATATTGGTTATGTAAGCAATAAGGAGACAAAATCCATGTTACCAAGTAGATTCAGGAAGTTTTTAGGGCACAGTGTCAAAGCGCTAGAAGTGCTCCTGATGCGCGACAAATCTTACTGTGCTGAGATTGCTCACAATGTTTCCTCTAAGAATGGAAAGTCATTGTTGAGAGAACAGCTCAGCTAGCCATCAGGATCACCAATCTAAATGCTAGATCGAGGAGTGAAGAAAATGAGTAAAAGCTTTGCACATTTTCATTTGTGTTAAATAAACCCTCAAACTACTAAACAAATAAAAATAAAAATAAAAAAAGGCAAACGGAATTAGGTTGTATCCATTGTTTTATTTTTTTCAAAGCAGGCAGCATGCTCCTTAAGGAAGCCAGTCTGGAACTGGGCTCATTTTGGGGTTAGGGTGCACAGTTTATATATACTTCCAACAGGGGCTGATGTCACCCCATCATCATTCATCCCTTGACAGAGGAAATACCTCTTTTATCAGATGACCCCCAACCATAGCAGACAACTCCCAGACTTGGGCTATCTAGACAGAAGAATCTGTCTCTACCTAAGCTTCAACATAACACAATGGGGCTTCCATACCTTAGATTAAATTGTACCAATGATGGGGTATGGGCCCAAGCCGAGACCTTTGCCCCTTGCCCCAAAAAGAATTTGGGTCCCATTTGTCTATGGTCCCCAGAAAACCCTTAAACTTTCTTTGACCTCACTCTGGTCTCAAAGGGTTACCTGAGGCTATACTCCACTCAATGGCCTTTCCTTATCCACTCTCCCTATCTCCCTGTTGAAAACCTAATGAAACTTAGTCTTTGACCCTAGTATATTTCCCACCTTTGATCTTATTCAAGTCAAATAGTGAGTCTGAGACTTAAAACAATGAAGAATTTTTTCAAACCACCATCATAATTCTAGTGAAATACTTAGCCAAAATAGTAAATTTTAGACAACTCTTTAACAGCTGTGTTTATAACCTATCAGAATCTGAATTACTTGAGAAGTTATTTTTCTATGTTGGCGTCACAAAATTTCACATTGTAAACATTGTACTTAATTTTTCCATTAACAGTATTAGAAAATACATCTAAAGCTGTACCAATTTAGTTTTGTAACTGTTGTTACAATGTTAACTCAAAGTATGTTGGGCTAAGTATTATAAGCCATTGCTATTAAAATTCCTTATTCTAAGACTCCAGGTTAAGGACTGATTTTTGGCTCAGGCAAAAAGCCCTAAGGAGTTTGGTCTGATGCTGACAGGGCATAGGCGAAAAAAGTCCTTGAGAGTTTTCACAGACTGAGTTAATTAAAAAATTCTCAATTTGCATGGTACAAGGAAACATTTAAGCTATAAGGACATTTTAAGTAGTTTTTATTATACCAACCTCACAGAAAACCATTATCATTATTATTTTCTACATTTTAAAAGAGGTTTTAAAAATACATATTTACATCAGTCTTTTAACATTTAAATCTATAACCTAAGAGAAGCAAAGAAAGTTCACTTTTTTAATCCCTATTTTTAATACAATGAATTATCACATTTATGTTAGGCATTATTTTCATATAGTTAACAAATTGGTAAGTTGAGGTAACTTGGTTTAAGACCACACAGCTAACAAATTTCCTGATCCATACATTTCCCCAACACCTTGTCTTAATGCCAAATAATAAAATCTGACTGGTCATTACTGTCACTTAAAATGAAACCAGAATTAATTCAATCACTTCTGGATCTATATTCCCAAATGATATTGATGGGGTACTTAAGTAATAATTTCAATTATTTAGCATTATTCTTTACAAAACCCATTTGTTTCAAGAACTTCAAATTATAAAGCCTACTATTTTTCAGCTAAACAATTGTCAGAGACTTAGAGGCAGTTCCTTGTTTTAGGCTCTAACGTACTACAATTATCCTAATAGGGGAGTACCCTTACAATACACATTCTGATTTAGTTTCAGGACATATTTTGGACTAAATCAAATCTGGGTTTTATAGCTTCGGATGGTGCTGAGGTGCTAATAATGGACCCCTTAAAAGATTTCGGACTTTCCCATGAGGCCCAGGTCCCTGGCATTTGCTGGGACACCTGGCCCTTCCTAGTTAATCCTTTCAACTGCCCTTTCATTGTGGCCCTCATTGTCTGCACCTGGCCCCACCCTAGACTACCACTCCTTAATTCCATCTAGATCCCTTCTGTTACCTCCCAGTCCCCCCAAGCTATTGGCTAACACTATAAAAAGGTCAGTCTCCTCTACCAAATCAGATTCCTTAAGAGTCTTGCCCAGTTGTATTCTCATTACAAAGGCTCAGTTTCTTAAAATCTGGCCAACCTTAATTGGTGTTTTAATAAACATTGTCTCTGACTGAAAAAAGGCTTAAGTCACATTCATTTGAAGCAGGACCTGCCTTGAATTTTGGGGTTCCCAGCACCTCTAGACCACAACAATGCAACATGTAAAACCTCAAATTTCTGTCAGACTTTAAGATTGATAGCTGTGTATCATAAAGCATAACCATATAAAGTTTCCCATATCCTTTATTCTTTCAATGAAATCAGAAAACTTTGTCAAACTTTTCTCAACATGGTTAAACTTTCTTCCTTAATCTCTGTCTCTGTGTCTCTGTTTCTCTGTCTCTTTCTCTCTGTCTGTCTCTCCCTCTCTCTCCCCACACACACCTTTCTTATTTCATATTCTTCTCCTAACT